TCAGATTTTTGAATGAAATATTAAAATAACTTGAAAAAGACTGGGATATTCATTTTGATGAAGAGAAATACAAATTATTGCTAAGCCTCTAGCAGCAGACTGTCTCAGGTTGATTCTCATTCAGGGGAAAAAAGCAATATCTGTATTTCAACTCAAGTCCTATTAGAATATTATAAGACTATTGGAAAACTTAGAAGGGATAATTTTATAGATAACTGAGTATTACATGAAGGCAGGCTGCTGACCTTAATGGGAAATGATTTTGAGATTTGTAGATCTGGTACATTATTGCTTTATATCATATATATTCCCACAGCTCTTAGCAACCCACTACTTATTTGAAAAGTGCATTTTAGCAACAGTTTCTACAAATGAATGTAAATAGGCATTTCAATAAGCATATCCCACTAGTCCTTCAGCATTTCTTAATCACCCACTCCAAGCCAGCTTGAAAATGAACCACCATTTATAGCATGAAGTACAATATGTTACATTACTTCTAATAAACAGCCAAATGAAATAAGTTAAAGAAAAAGAATTCTAATGCATGAGATGGATTTTCAATAAAAGAGAGGCAAAGTATGTGTATGGGTCTTTATTAGATTCCAATGGAAATCAATCTGAAATCTGATTCAGGCTAGTAAAATTAGATTTAGAAACTATTTAATTTAGTTTCAAGAGTGTTTTCCCTTTCTGTCGCCCACCCACAGGATATAGAGAGATAAAATACTAGAGTGATTATTTCTTTATGGACACCTTCACCCTTAGTGAGGATTACACCTAATTATGCATTTCTCAGCAATCCAATTCTAGTGGTTATAGCAACCAATAATGTGGTTTTTTCTCAAGTACTTAAAAAGGCTTTGATCCTACTTTTACTTTTATACTTACAGGCTTTGTTTGATGCTTAAAAAAAGAAACATGAGTGTTCAAAATATATGTCGTGGTTATTTCTAGAGGAAGCTGAATAAGTGCTTTTATTTTTTAGTGAAATTGGTTGGTATTAGTAAAAAATACTAGTAAAGAAGTTAGTAAATTAATAAATTGGTCAATTAATTAGTAAACAACAGCTACTCATTACCACATTGAATTAAACATTGGCAGGGGGCAAGTGAAGGCAAGTGATACAATTGAGCCTGGAATTATGATTGTAAGATGAGGGAGGAGGAGGAGGAGGGGGGGGGAGGAGGAGGAGAAATTCTAATTCTAAAATTCTAATATCCAGCAATAAGCAGCACATTTTGTTTGCATGTTCTATTGATTTAAGATTGAAATTAACTATAATATTCACTGCCTCCCTTCTCTTCTGCATCAATGGTTAATAATAATAATAATAATAATAATAATAATAATAATAATAATAATAATAATAATAATAATAATAATAAAGTTGGAAGGGACCTTGGAAATCATCTACTAGTCCAACCCCCTGCTCAGGCAGGAAACCCTATACCACTTTAGGCAAATGGCTGTCCAATCTTTTCTTAAAGTCTTCCAGTGTTGGAGCATTCACAGCTTCTGGAGGCAGATTGTTCCACTGATTAATTGTTCTCATTGTCAGGACTTCTCCTTAGTTCTAGGTTACTTCTCTCCTTGATTAGTTTCCATCCGTTGCTTCTTGTCCTGCCTTCAGATGCTTTGGAGAATAGCTTAACTCTCTCTTCTTTGTGGCAACCCCCGAGATATTGGAATACTGCTATCCTGTCCCCCCTCGTCCTTCTCTTCATTAAACTAGACATACCCAATTCCAGCAACCGTTCCTTATACATTTTAGCCTCCAGTTCCCTAATGAGACTGTCATTATGCAGGTGACTATATAATTATGCCTGATTTTATGACCTTGTTGCGGCAGTCCTTAGTGAATGCCACAGTCATTAAATGAACCCATTGTATCCAATGGGTGTTTTTGCCTGAAACACCAGTTTCTGACAAAAAAAACACTGAAAATCATGGTTACATTGCCATGGGATTCTGCAAATAGTCATAAGTACAGGCTGGTTGCCAAGCACCCAAAATGCAATTGCATGACTCTGATGAGGGAAGACAGCCATCACAACTTTGAAATTGAGTTGTAAGTAGCTTTGGAGAGGGTAACTTTGACCAGTTGCTAAATGACCCAGTCATAAGTTGAGGATTGTAATTCACATCTGCATGATGGATCAGGATGCATGTGATGTTATTGTAGCTCTTAATGAACACCTGTGACTAAATATAACCTAATTTCTCCCAAGTTTTAAGATGGGCTTCCCATTTAGAAGCTGGGAAACCATTTTTATGGTGGAGCTAAAGTTGAATCATCTTCTCTTGGGGGAATCTGTTAATCTTCTCATGTTCATGCATTTTGTGGAGTATATATGACACCATTTGCTCAGAAAGTTTTGGTTACTTCTGATTGCCATGTTTGTGTATTCACTTACCCCACTTATGTGTTTATGAGATTCATGTATTATTTTATTTATTTTATCAAATTTTGGGTCAAGATCAAAAGGTTTACTTGTAAGGAAAGCAGGGTATTAACCGTTTTGAATTTTGAATGTTATTTACAGAAATAGGCTCGGTCAATGTAGTGAAAGCTACAGATGTAGGAAACTGCTTGATACTATACTTGGTCAGGTTCTTGGTCCACTTTGATATTCTTTCAATACCTTGAAACAGTCCAATTCCAAGAATTCAGAGAATTGAAGTACACCCAATCAGAGAGAAAGAGAAGATTGACCTATACTATAGCTCAACTAAGCTGATATAATTTCATAACTATATGTTCAATATGGATTTTTTTAAGTAACATTTTTGCAAGTACCAATTGTTCTCCACACATTATTGAGTGCTGGTGAAAATTGAGAATTACTAAAACAGAGTAATATAACAATTTTCCTATCTCCCTTCCAAACATAAGCATTTGATTGTTTGGAATTGCACATGACTTCTAATTTATAGGATACCGCTTCTTACAAATTGCTTTTTTTAAAAAAAATTCCATTTAAAAAATCTCCAACATGTAAAATAGCTTAAAGCCGTCAATTAGGGTATGATGGTAATGGAAGTAATTCCCTAACATTAAGGCTTATGTGGCAAACTACCAGTTGTGTTCTGTCTAATCCTTGCTGAAAAATCAGAAAATATATAAAAACACAAGTATTAATTGCACTCATTAGCTTCTGAGCAAAAAGAGGAATGTTTATTTCCAAAAATTTATGAAGGCTTTAGTAAGAAAGTAAGATGTTGCCCACTCTTGATTTCTTTAAATCAAGAGAACATAAAGAAAGGCATCTGAACACTAACCAGCTCCCCAGCTACTTTTTAAAAACAGCAATTATTAACCGAGATCTACTGGTATAGTCCTCCAGAACTCTCTGTGTTGTTGTTTTTTTACGCACAGGTGACTTACAACCATTCATTTAGCCACCATTCAAAGTTACAATGGCACTAAAAAAAAGTGACTTATCACCATTTTTCACATTTACAACCTTTGCAATGTCCCTGTGGTCACTTGATCAAAACTTGGATGCAACTAGCATGTATTAATGACAGGTGCAGTGTCTCTGAGTCATGTGATCATCTTTTGCAATCTTCTGATAAGCAAAGTCAATGGGGAAGCCATATTTACTTAATTATTATGTTACTAAAAACTGCAGTGATTCACTGTACAAGGGCAGCAAGAAAGGTTGTAAATTAGAACAATCTCACTTAACAATGTGAGTTTGCTTAGCAGTGGAAATTTTTGGTTCAGTTGTGGTATTAAGTCAAACACTATCTATATTTAACAAAAGACTGTAGACAATGAACAACTTTAAAATAAATGTTTAAAAATTCTCATGACAAATATAAGCTGAGGGAGATATCAGAACTGACAGTTGCTAGCACAGCCAGGAGACAGGGACCCCATCCTCTCAGGAGGACAAGCACACAATAGGGCCTGATGAAAGCATAAGGGTCATCGTCATTTTGTGTGTGGAGGGGAATATGGAAGCCAAGTTCCTAGTTTTTAATCATGGCTGGCTTCACACAATATGGAGTCCTTAGTGCTCTCTAAGCTTGGTTGTTTATTTGGAGATGATTTATTACTCAACTAGATAATATCAGTACTACTGTATTCCCCACACTTACACACTCCCAAACTCTACACTCCCTAGGATTCATGATGTTACCTAATGCCTGGATGAGAGACTATTGAGAAATTCCTGGGATTATAGACTTATATACTCCCTGAAGAAAGTACCAGTAAAGTTTTTCCATACTGTTGCTAAGAAAACCCAGAATAAAGACTGAAAAAGTCTTTGCTTATTGCTTTTATGTGATTAGTTAATCTTTCACTTGATAACCAATAGGGGATCATTATCTGATTTGGTCTTTTTATATTGAGTCTTGTATAAATTAGGACCACAACTGTATTCAAGTCAAATATTGGTTTCATTCAGTGGTGGGATTCTCTGTGTGGATGCCGCTTCCGGAAGTCCATTCTGGGCCCAGGCAACAAAAAATTAGCTACCCATTCTGCCAAACTGGTGAGAATTAGTTGAATCCCACCATTGGTTTCATTCCAGATGTAGCAATGAAGGCACTGAAAGAATTTAACTTCAGCATATAATTGGACGATTGCAACATGGGTACAGAATTTCTGAAGTTGGGCACTCAAATGTTTATTCTGCTGCACTTAACATTTAATTCTAGTTAATCTAGAACTGATTAGCAATTAAAATTCCATCTACATACTCCCTTTTCAGAATTTTCTTTACCCTAGAGTAGCAAATTGTCAAGCCCAATTTCCTTTCTTAGATGTTTAAATAGCAATGAATGGAACAAAATAAATGCAGGTTGACCACCTTTCTATTAAAATTGAGAACCGCTAATAATAAAGGTAAGTTGTTTCAATGACTTAATTGGATATGAATACAGAATTGATATAAAAGATAAACTTTACTGCCTTAGCCAAGAAATGATTTGGGGGGCGGAAACCTCAAGATTTCATAAATATGTTTTGTTCTGTTTTCTCCTTACAGAAAAAGGAAGCATTTTGTCAACTTTCATTGCACCCCTGAAGTATTTGAATCCTTCAGCAGCAAACATGGAAAATGAGGAGAATTTAAGTAAGCACTTTAATCTTCTTCATGTGGATCAGACAAGAAGTCCTCTATTTTCCATTTATTAAATTTATATGCCACCCATCTCACTCTGAAAAGCAATTTTGGACAGCTATCATGTATCTTACATTTTCCTGAAATGAGAAATAGTAGAGTCCGTCTTTGAAACTAAAGGAAGTGCAAGTAAATCTGTTTTTGTTTTTTTGTTTTTTTGCTGAATCTTTTAACATTAAGCCAGCCTGTTTATGGTGATCTACATTGGCTTGTTAAACATTATTTTTGCCAATGTGGGATTGAGAAAAAATGTATGTAATGTATGTATGTAGAGTGTAAATGTGTGTATGAAAGGCGTGTGGAGATATGGATATATGTAGCATCTTTTTGTACAGATATTAGTGCTCATAATTGAAAAAAACATTGCATTTCCTTATATTAAACTATCCATTTTTAAGAGTCTGGCAGGTAAGAACATAGATTTGCATTAGTTTAGCCTACTGCCAGAAAAAGTCATAGCCTTGTCAAGATAACAGCCTCATCAAAATTAGGCAGAGAAAAAACTTTTGGTGGTTCTGTTGATATAGTAGCTAAAATGAAGCCCATATCCTGAAAAGAACTTACACATCTCAAGATTGGTTTGGAAGTGAAATTCATAATTTCCAAATATGAGAGTAAATGGTGGAAGTAGAACCTCTTCTCACTCTATTTCTTGTATCAGGGGTCCCCAAACCCCGGTCCATAGACCGGTACCAGTCTCCAGCCCTTGGGATTCCGGCCATGCAAGCAGCGGGCAAGTGCATAAAGCTCCATTTGCACAAGCAGCAGGCATACACATGCATCCATCCCCTCCACCCCTTGTCTGCCAATCTGCAGAACTGAAAAGATTGGGGACCACTGCCTGGTATGATGCAGATGGGGAACAAGTATTAGGTTGAATCCATGAGAAGGTTGAAGAGAATGAGAAATATCAGAATGTCAGAGTGACAATTCACCATTCACAGTCCACAGGGGGCTATCTTAACAGAGTCAGTCAGAGAATGAGAATCATGAATGAAAATGATGAAAATTACTTTTACGTGTGTCCTAATGGCCCAGGCTTTGTTTTGATAGACCATGATGAATGAAGACCAGCAATGACAATCCTACTCACTGTTTTCCCATAGTATGGGAAAAATTAAAGTGGAATACTTCTTTACAGGGAAATGCTATTTCTTTCACAAGATTCACTAGGAAAATAGATATAGAAGATTCTGAAATTGATACTGATACTAATATGTATATGGAAGTGAATTAGGCCACACCTAGTAAAAAAAATTACTTGGGTCATATGCAATCCCTAAAATTTTACATCTAGCTTCCAGGTTCTTGCAAAACTGCTTATTTTCATTGTGATGGAATGAAAAAATTAATAAATTATGCGCATAACTGGAGAGTTTCTATTTCTATACAGAAATCAAAGGGAATTCAATGTTTGACCTGACTGTAACCCAGTGGGCATCAGGGACCAGTTCCTTGGAGAAAGGTTTTTCTGTAGAGCAGAGGGGGAGGGGTCATTTTGTGTACTGCTGCGTCCCACCGATGGGGCTTCACTTGTTTGCGCAGCCTGTTTGCTGGCATGCTGAGGCCTAGTGCCAGTCCGTGGACTGGGGGTTGGGGACCCCTACTGTACCTTACATTTTAGAATGTTGTCAACTGTTAAAGCTAAATGTGGCTACGTGCCCAGAAAGAAATAATGCCTCCTAGCCTATTCACAGCTTTCAGGATAGACCAGGTCAAGCATCAACTTTACAAGGAACTTTGCTTTATTTTGAAGAGAATAATAGCAGAATATTGAAAGGCTAGCATAATTTCTCTCACACAAGAGAATCAAGGTTGAACAATCTTGGATTTCTTTTTTACTCTCTTCTCTTTTTCAGCAGAAAAAAATTGTCTGATATCTGTATGACAATCTATAAGATGTCCCCTATGGTATTTTTATATATCTCTATACCTATCATGTCCAAGACCTACCACCTCCAGAGTTCTAACCACACAGTAGTCAGCATAGTGCTTCTAGATAGCCTACAAGTATTCATAACACTGGGCTTATATTCACTTGATACCACAATTGTGGAGGCATCCAACACAAATTATTTAATCTGCATGCATTTGTGATGCAAGTGATACAATATTTAATCACATCCCAACTCATATAATAGCCTGCCCCCTTTTTTCAAATGCCCACACTTCAAAATAGCAATAGCTATAGCATTTAGACCTATATGTCACTTCATTGTGCTTTACAGCCCTCTCTAAGCTGTTTACAGAATCAGAATATTGTCCCCAACAATTTGGGCCCTCATTTTACCAACTTCAGAAGGATGGAAGGCTGAGCCAATCTTGAGCCTGTCAGGGTTAAACTCCTGGTAAAGGGCCAAATTTGCCTGCAAGACTACATTCTAACAACTGCGCCACCACGGCTCCTTGTTGTACGGTTTTCTCACAGTTGGCTTCTAGAGGCAGCATTCCTAGACACGTAGTTTTGGGTATAAGAGAAATAAGAAATTTTTGTTATTATAGCAGTCATTGATAATCTACTCAAGGTAAAAATATCTATTCCTCTTTAAAGCTATCCAAGTGTGTCACGTAAGAGTAAAATCCATATTTGGTTGGTGTGAAGAACCTGTTATGTCTGCCTTAAATCTTAACCATTTATGTTGATTGAGGTTCCATCTTTTCTCTTTTTTCTTACTTTATACACAATTCAAATGTTAATATGTTAATTTTCTAAGCTAAAAAATTCCAGTTGTAGCCTACTACAATAAAGGAATTGATTTCCTTAACTGCATCAATGTATTTATCCTTTTCTACATCTCTTCCAGTGTTAACAATGTTCCTTTTGAAGTGCAGCCACCAAAACAATAGATAGTATTCCAAGTGTGGACACACCATTGATTTTTATGAAGGTATTATGATACAATATAGGCAGTTTTATTTTTTATTCCTTTCCTAATGACCCATGACAAGGAACAAATCAGCCTTTTAACAGCAGACACTCACTGGGTCCATGTTTTTTCATACTGTCTGACACAATTCCAAGATCTTTTACTTTGTCAGATGGCAACATCACTAACTTTTTTATTAATGCATCTATGAACATTATTTAAAGTCTACCTTCTGATCAATTGGCTTCCTTGCAATTGATTTCTCATTTTGTCATAAACATCACAACACTCTTATATCTTCTATTTATTCTACTGCTGCATTTTATCAAGGTGAAGTGCAGAGATTATCGGGTATCCATGGTAGGGTGGGCAACAACCTCAAAATGGCAGTGTCATACAACAGACATTTTCCCTTTTTTACATGTATGTAATACACTTGGTACTATTAACACTTCTTCCCAATGAATGCTCTTGCAGACTATTTTAAAAGTTCTTCCATTAAGTCACAGAAGCAACTGCCTTACACAATTGCATGAAAAAGAATGAGAAAATGCATAACCCCTTCTCTCCATTTCAGAAGATGGGCGATATTTGTCCTTTAGTCTATCACTTAAGTTTGTTCACTTCTAAAACTTTTCCCCCAAAAAATTAGAAATTACTCTTTATGCATCCCCTAAAAAACTTTATAATGGATTTGGAATATCTTTATGTTGTTTTTCAGCTTTTTTGTCAATATTTAAGTTAACAAATTCCTCTTCCAAGTATCTTCATTTCATTTTTAGAATTAGGAAGGAATGTTGAAAAGTGTATGATTTAGTTTTCAGGTAACTTCTTCTCTATAAAAAAAATGAATGAACAAAGATCAAAATGATAATATGGAAGTAATTTCTCTATTACAATTGTTCTCTTTTCTGTGAGTAATTGCATGGAAGTCTTGCTGGAAAATTTCTAATTTAGTTGAACTTGGTGCGCACACGCACACACACACATTCAATCCTTACATCCATATGAGAACAATCACATAAACTACTTAATACAGGTAACAAAAATATAACTCAAAAATATAACTCAATGTTTATTTATTAAATATCAGCAAACATCAAAAAACTGACAGAATGGAACAAAAGTAGAGAAAAATAGGAAAAAAGATACATTAACAACAGATGAGGACAAAAGGCTTAACCTCAATAACCATGTTCTTCTTTATTATCCCAGTTAGTCTGCACTATATTTATATATGTCTTCATATCTGTTTAAGATTTATAGAAGGAAAATGTCAGTACCCACATCAATACTCAAACTAGTCTAGACAGAGCAGTTTAATTTTTTTTAACTCAAGAGATAATTTTACTTCAGCAAGAGAATTGAGCTAAATAGCATTCGCATTCTCCTAGTCTATTGTTAATTCAACTTTCACATTACTCTTGAAAATATTAAGAAATAGAATAATTTTTGTGGTTATAGAATTTAGAAGTATAGTTCCATGCATAAAAATGCTTGTGGTGACTGCTTGGGTATTTTTGTAAGCAAAAATGCTGTGCTGTAGGCTGAGAACCTGAATAATTTGCCTCAGATGTTAGGTAGAGTGTATGATGAAAAGCATAGATCTGAAAAATTATGTATTAAAAGGCGAAGTGGTTGTGTTTAGCTGGAAAAATGGTTTGAAAAATGATCTGTCATTCAGTTTTATGTGTGGATTAGCTTTAAAGTATGTTTCCACTATTATAATCTTAGATTTATGGGGAAGTAGTTTTCTTGATAAAGTTTTTTGGAAGTGGTTTGCCATTGCCTGCTTCTTATGACTAAGAGATGTGACTGGCCTAAAGTCATCCAGTTGGCTTCATGTCTAAGGCAGGCTAGAACTCACAGTGTTTAATCAAAGTGACTCTATTTAGATAAGAAACTTTTAGAATAAAAATGTATTTTGGCATAATAGTGAAAATAGAGCCTGGGCTAGGTTTCCTTGAGGTCTATGATTATATTTATCTGTTGGTTAGCTTTCAGTAACTTGCTTTCATTAGTGATGTTCTTGCTGTTCTACTATGGCATTGCTTGCCATACTATAAAACATTTACCTTGGCATTA